CGGGCCGCAAAGGGGGCCGAGAGCTTGGCTTGGTCTGCTGGAAGGCACCGTTTCCTCCGGCAGTGTGGGAGATGGGGCCCGCCTCGCGTTCTGGCAGGGCTTATTCAATTTTTTTTTTGTCATATTTCTCTAAAACATAGCAAAGCCACACGGAAGCTTTTGAACCCAAGTAGAACTAAAAGGACAGTTTCTGTAACACTCAGTTTTTAATACTTTTTTTTAACTTTGTTGTTGTTATTATGAACCAGGCTCTAAAAGGGCTTGGTCTGGAGCCAGGTTGCAAATGAACAACTTTTCTTGCTAATACAGTTCAGGTTGTGATCTGGTTCCTTCACCCTGATCCAGTTTGTTCCGTGCTTGCGCTGGTGTCTCTGCAGTTACTCCAGGAGTGAGTGCTTTGCTAGTAACCAGCGTTAGGTACACGCATAGTACTTTCATTGCTGTTAGCTGGCTAGTTTTGGGTTTTGTTGTGTTTTTAATACCTCTGAAATGAATTGTGGATGGGAAAGGGAAGGAGGATACTTTGCCTGTATTATTGCTATGAGCTATTAATTTAATGACAAATGCAGTCTAATGCTGAAAGATTCATTTTTAAATGGTGCTCTTCAGACCGGCAAGCTAGTATTTGACATTTTTATTCCCTTTTTTGAAAGGAAGCTGGTGCTACTAGCAGTTGAAATTTTCACCTCACAGATTTTGAGGCACCAGGGATTGTTCAGAGGGCCCAGACTTCACAAAAAATTCCTTCTGACGCAGTTTGCTTGCTTGTAGTCATTGTGAGTCTTTGTATTGAATTAGAGAAGTTGGTTACAGCACTTCAACTGTTAAACATAATCTAAATAACAAGCCTTTGGTAAACTGAGTAAACACAGGTGGGTTTTAGATAGGCTTTTTTAGTAGTAGATGGGAAGTAGCTTAGAAGGTGTTACTAAAGGGCTCAGAGATTCAATTCTAGATTAATTTTACTCAGATTACTTGGAAATCTGTTGAATTTCAAACCTCAGGAATAGTTTTCTGAATGCAGATTGTGCCATGGAGCACTGTGTTAAGTGAAAATTGTTGCTATGATGATGTAATTTGCGTCTTATCCAGTGTTCAGTGACAGTTGCCTGCTGTCAGAGTGCTGGCACTGTTGAACTGAAGACCACTTCATTCTGAGCAATATTTGATGGATTTGAATGCTAGCAATTTAATTTACATGTGTTTAAGATTTTTTTTCCCCCCTCTTTCAGGCTTGCGCTCGACCGTTAATATCCGTCTACTCTGAGAAGGGAGAAGCATCAGGCAAAAATGTCACCTTGCCTGCTGTGTTCAAGGCTCCCATTCGCCCTGACGTTGTGAACTTCGTTCACACCAATTTGCGCAAGAACAACAGGCAGCCCTATGCTGTCAGTGAACTTGCAGGTATGGCAAGACCACAAAATGAACAGAAATATTTGCATTAGCCTTGGATTTTACTATAGGTGGGCTAAAATTGAAACAAATTTAGAACTAAGGGAAGCACTGTTGAGTGGGATTCTATATAGGAGGCAAGGTGACTGTTCTGGTTATTAACAATCTGATTTTAAATTGTACGAAACACAACTTTTCTATTATTCTGAAGAACAGCAAGGTGTTGTAAAAGTGTTGGAGTACTCTGGTGTCTTATTTGGAATGTATATTTCTGAAAGCACTGTGGTGCCTAGGTCCTCAAGTGGAATCTACATCCTTTGCAAGAGGAACACAAAATGTCTGACAGTTACCAGGCAGAAAAGTGATGAAAACCCACCCTCTATAAGCCCTGCTCGTGTTGACCAAAGGAGACTTAGCCGAGGCATTTACCAAGAAGAAGCCTCTGCAAACAGGCATTTGTTAGAGTTGCTTCAGAAGCTACTGGGCGCAGGTAGCTTCTGCTTCCCAGGAAGTTTGTGCCAGGAACATGCGTTTTCCCATATTTCTGATGACGTTTCACGTAAGCATTGTAACCCTGTTCCCATAGGAACAGCAGTGCCAATTCATACCTTGAGGTTCAAGCTTAGAGATCAGTATCAGTGTGTTAACGCTCTTGATTCTGACCTAAGCTGATCTTTAATATGGTAGGAGTTAATTTACCTGATCAGGACTTGTTTTGCTGAAATGATGAGATTCCACTTCATTGGTCCGTGTTTCTGAAACACGTGCTGACAGCGGAAGCTCTGACTAGTGGTCCTGAATTCTGCCTAGCGGCAAGGTTATGAAAGTTGCAGTGTTGTCACACACTCTGAATTAAAATCTTTCTGTTCCAGGTCATCAGACCAGTGCCGAATCTTGGGGTACTGGGAGAGCTGTTGCTCGTATTCCTCGAGTACGAGGTGGCGGAACTCACCGCTCTGGCCAGGGTGCCTTTGGAAATGTATCCTTTCATTGCTGCTGCTTGCATCAAGTGTAACGCTGAACTCATCAAGCAGAAAAAATATTATTTGAAGTATCTAAACATGGAATGGAATCTTCTTGAGGTAGTAGCTACCTACAGTTATCTGGACCACTGAGTTTGAGAAAGTTGTGATTAGAACCTTCTGTATGCAAATTCAGACTTGCTTTAATGAACAGAAGCTTTCGTTGATTCTCACCACCACTGCAAAAGTGGTGGATGTGTTGAGTCTTGCGATGCGTACAGTCTTGCCATGATGTCGTAATTTGCGTCTTACTCTGTGCTCAGTGACAGTTGCCTGCTGTCAGTGTACTGGTACAGATGGTTGACGAACAGTTAACACTGAGCAAGGATTAAAGAGTCGCACTAGAAAAAGAAGCTTCAAAAAGGTTGTTCTTAACAGTCAATGCATAGATGTGTCGTGGAGGCCGCATGTTTGCCCCAACCAAGACTTGGCGGCGCTGGCACCGTAGAGTGAATACGACTCAGAAGCGTTACGCCATCTGTTCCGCTCTGGCAGCGTCTGCTCTTCCAGCGCTGGTCATGTCCAAAGGTGGGAATTCTGTCTGGAAGAGTTTGCCTGTAGTTTTGCCTGAGCCATATCAGTTCCTATGTGATCACTCAAAATGTTTATTGTGGGTAACTACATTCTCTTTAAAAGAGTTCAAGAGGCAGTCGGTCCACTCCTCAGCAGGAGGGCTGTTTCTCTCACGTGCAGCTCGGGAAGGTGCTTTGCAGTTACGCGTGTCAGAAGTTGGGGGATGCTGGAGTGCCTTTGTGTGCGTTGCTGATGTGAATCTTGTCCACGCGGTTTATGGAAACTGAAACTGGGGTTTGAATCACAGAGCAGTTCAGTTTGATTTCTGTTCATGGCAGCCAAAGATTTGCTTAATATTTACTCAGGTACAGAAAGTGCTGTCTGAGCCAGAGCTGCAAGACTCCGCTCCAGCTTCCCTCCTGTAGTTACGATGTCTGAATATTAGATTGATGAATTTAATTTCCACTGTTTATCATTTTGTGTCATTTCTGCATACACAAGGCAATAACCTTGAGAACCGTGTTCAGCCACAATCAGTGGGTAACTTAGTGTCTTGTAAAATCCTCTCTAGGCCACCGCATCGAGGAGATTCCAGAACTTCCTCTGGTTGTTGAGGACAAAGTTGAGAGTTACAAGAAAACCAAGGAAGCTGTTCTCCTTCTGAAGAAGCTTAAAGCTTGGAATGACATCAAAAAGGTGAGTTGCTGCAGGTATGTCCTTAAGAGCAAAGCCCAGGTGATTTGACTCTGCTGCTGTTGCAGTAGGAATTCCAAGTAGTTTTGCTCTGATTTGATGCCGCTAGAAATCCCTTACACTACAAGAAACTGAAGAGTTTAAGCAAAGTAAATTTCTTGCTGTGTCGCTTTTACTCTTATTTGTCTTCATTCCAGCGTTGCTTAACATTAATAGGTGTGGGAGATTTTTTTCTTGACTCTTAAGAATGATGAACTTCTCACTGGTCCGTGTTTCAGATAAGCAGTGATGATTGTGAAGTTCTGACTAAAGCAGTTTTGTTGCATCTTACTAGTGGTGTTTGGATTATTTTGAATATTATTCACGAGTTTTATTTTTATATAGGTTTATGCCTCCCAGCGTATGCGGGCCGGAAAGGGTAAAATGAGGAATCGCCGTCGCATCCAGCGCAGGGGACCCTGCATCATCTACAACGAGGACAATGGTATCATTAGAGCTTTCCGGAATATCCCAGGTAACGTAACTTGGAGCACCCTTACTCTTTATTGGGAGACTGCCTAGAATGATGAGATTCCACTTCATTGGTCCGTGTTTCTGAAACACCTGATTGTGTGGAAGTTCTGACTTGCTGAAGTAGCTAATACGTTCTTTCTAAGAATCCGTTTTGGTGACGTTGAGGATGTTTATGACGTTTTGTGGCTGTCACCAACCACAAACTGCGTTTGGAGCGGTTAAAAATGGGGCTGTTAAGTTGGTTTGCTGGGAAAAGGCTGATGATTTTTAAAAATGTAAAGTATTTTCATACGTAGGTGTCTGTAAGTTTGTAGTGTAAAAGCTACTAAGCCCACGTCTGTTTCTGCATACTTTCTTTCTCATCTGTTTATATCTTAGTCTTGATTTTAATCCCAGATTAAGGGGATCGGTCTGTCCATTTTTGCACAGGAATTACTCTTCTTGATGTGAACAAGCTGAACCTGCTCCGACTCGCTCCCGGTGGCCACGTTGGGCGTTTCTGCATTTGGACGGAAAGCGCCTTCCGCAAGCTGGATGATCTGTATGGCACCTGGCGCAAAGCTGCCACGCTGAAGAGCGACTACAAGTAAGCACCAACGGGGTGAAAAGGGGCTTGGGAGGTGGGCGGCGGGTGCTGGTCAGTCCTTTTCCTTAAAGCCTGTTTTTGTTGAATGGGCCACGGTTTTATCGTCCGACTGACACAACAACCGTTTGTTTCGCAGCCTGCCGATGCATAAGATGACCAATACGGACATTGGAAGAATCATGAGAAGCCAGGAAATCCAGAAGGCGCTGCGTGCTCCGAAGTAAGAGTTTTTATCTGATGACTGCAAAGCGCAGTCTCTGTAGCCGTGGCCGAGTGCGAGGCTTTGCAGCGACATCAGAAATCTCTGCTTTGGGATGTCAGATCAGGCTGGGCTCCTTTTAGCTTCTGGGTGTAAATACTAGGAATTAGGGTTCCCCGAATACAATTTCTGGGAAAATTGAGCAGAACTTGACTTGTGAAATGAGATCGTGATACACGTCGGTTCTTTGCAGGAAGAAGATTCGCCGTAGAGTCCTGAAGAAGAATCCTCTGAAGAATCTGAGAATCATGATCAAGTTGAACCCGTACGCCAAAACGATGCGACGCAACACCATTCTGCGCCACGCACAAAACGTGAGCGAGCGTGGGAGCGGGTAATAGATGAAATGGGGTGCAGTCCTCCAGATGACGTACTGATGAGCCTTTTGTCTTTTGTAGCACAAACTCAAGGAAGAGAAGAAGGCCAAGGCCAAGCTCGCGGCCAAGGTCCCGGCTGAGCCCAAGGCAGAGACCGCAGCCAAGACCCCTGCCAAGGCCAAGGCTGAAGCATAAGCGCCCTGCAGCATGTCATCCACGTGGGCTCAGAAAACTGTACTGTGGATTGACAGTTAATAAATGGCGTTGGAACAGAGACGTGCTGTCGGAGGTTTCTGATGGGGGGGGGGTTCTGCCACGCAGTTGTGGGCGGGTTTTGAAATGGAAACTCTTCTTTAGAGTAAAAAGTAGCGGTGGCCTTTGCTGGCTGCACCTTTTCCCGGTTTAAACCGGCCCCGCGTGGGGCCATGACGAGAAGTGGCCGCGCGGTGGCAGCTGCCGCCCGGAAACGTGCAAATGGCGGCGGCGTGAC